TTTTTTATCTTTCTATAAAGTATTCGAGAATAAATGATGCAGAATTTGCATTTTTGTGTGAGAGATTCTTAAAATAATTGTGGGAATTCTGAAATTGCTTTTGGGAATATCATCCAAAGCCGATGCTCTTCATTACTCGTATGTTTGTGTTTATGTTTTTTTTTTTGTGCACAAATAGTCGAGCGTCATCGCAGACATATTTTTCAGATTTCCGCACAGATAAACAATTGTAGACAATTTAATTGTCTTTCGCCAAATGCACAGCATTTGTTAATGGAACTGACAAATTAGCCTCTATTGCACGTGATAAATTCTCGAATCAGAAATGTTTTAGGATGAGAAAGAGATTCAGGTCGAAAGCAAATCAGGGAATGAGTGAGGGTTAATCTACTATTAATCTTAATATCAGCGTCTTTGTCCTACTTCCCAAGAATACCAAATACTTAATATTAATTACAATGGTGAAACGTTGGCAAATCTGGCTTTCGGTGCGGCACGCATTACTTGGAATAACATTTCGCAGTCATCCCCCAAATCGATTGATTTGAAAGACAGTGCGAGGCTTCTCTCGTCGCCTCAATTTCCTGCCATAACTCATTTTATCGTATTACGTCTTTTCCTGCTCAACGACACTACATGTCCTTTGTGTGTGAGTGTGTGCGGTGGTGTTTTTTTTGTGTAGATTTTCCACACTTGGATGACATCAGGAAAAAAGGCACTAAAGTTGTGCTTTAGTGCATTCAATCCAGACAGAATATTGTTGTAGGACTTCTTATAGCGTTCGATCCATTCGAGGAGAATTTTCCACCCTCGAGACATTGGCAGAAGAGAGAACATTGTGTGCTGAAGAGTGGCTAGTGTGGTATACCATAAGATGGTTAACCATCATCATGTAGCACTTGTCATGACTTTATTGCCTAATCCTCTTCCAACTGGTCACGAGACAAGAACTCACTGATGACAACGACAGAGAGCGAGAGAGAGCGTATGGAATAATTGGGTGGGAAATCCTCTTGCCACCCTCCCAGCACAAGGGTGTGTGTTGAGGAAAAAGCGCTCTTGAAGATACAAGGCTAGAAGGGCAAGAAAGGGGTTGAAAATATGATGATGAAAGATGGGAAAGTTTTTGTCATCATTTTATAGTGTGGCCATTTCACATCTCTTTGCCTCCTTATGGCTTTCTTATGGACTCTCCCGATGGGGTGGGCAATGAGGGGGACATTCAGTGTTAAATTGTATAGAGATCCCCGTGGATTTCGGAAATGGGGATATTCTTGGGAGGGGACTCTCAGGGGGGAAATAAGGAGTCGTTATATCAACCTAGCGCGCACGTACGGTCTATAACATGCATGAATCGAATTGTTGGCATGCACAGAAGATGACAACAGTCACTCAAGGAAGAGAGTCGAGAGACTCAATGCTTCACTGTCAGGGAGAAATTTCTTCCATGATAGACTGTGTCCTTAATTTTTGTCCATTCCTTCTTCGGCAAATGGATTAAATCATGTAAATAACTGTGATGAGATTATCTTTTAATTGTTTTATCCGAGAGAGCATTGTTTTGCGCGTATTCTTTCCCCATAGCTTCATGTTGATGTTTCTATGTTGCTCGGGGAAAAAGCAATTACAAACAGTTTCCTCTGTGTATCAAATAATTTTAGCACGAGTATATTTCTGTAAGGATAAAGAGACACACACACAGAGCAAAAAAAAAATCTGAGTGGGTGTTACAACAATTTCGCAGTGAGGAATTTTCCACCCCATCAAAGCCTCAACTTCTCTTTCTCACCCCGCCATTGGGAGTGAAAGGTTGTCTCTTCTTCCCATGCCTTTGTTTGTCTTGCTTGAGTGTCTCTCCTTTTGCCATTTTACTCTCCCCTCAACCCAAGATTTTCCATTCAGCAATCTTTCTCAAATTTCAACCGTCCAATTGAACAATTGGCGAAGCAAGAAGTTTGTCCGTGGGTGATGCAGTGAGGGTGAAAAGGGGTCTCGCGCGACAGCAGCGGAAAAAAAGTTGGATAAACTAATGACTTGAGGGTTGGACTTCAATTTAACAATTTGGTAATTGTTTTTAATTAAACTTTGAGAGTTGTCCCAAACTTCCCCAGACTCTCTTCCGGGACACACAAATTTAAATGGGGAAAAAACGACGGTGATGGGATGTGTCATTTGCTAGAGATCATCTTTCCATGGGCTTTTTGGCAAATTACTCGCTGTCTTTAAGACTCGCGTTGGGCTGTGAAATTTCGTGACAATTTTCACTTGTGAGTGATTTTTCAGTGCGGATATAATTCAATTAATTGGGGATTTTCAGCTACGCTTGCGTGAAACATGTGTTTGTGGGGATAAGCAGATTAGCTGTCAGCTTGAAAATTGGTGTGTGTATGTGTGCACTTTAAGCGTGAGGAGAGAAATTAGCTATTGATGGATTTGTTAGACGGCCTAAACATAAAACATGCTATAAATGGTGTAATAAAATGGCGAAAAACATTCTCTTCTCCCTCATCGTGCAATTGTTATTTCAATTGGGAGACCATTTAAACGGATGAATTGTAAATATTTTCCTTCGATTTGCCAAACGGCGGAGGGAAAAAGTGCGGGCTCGAGAATGGGTGGCATTTATATGGTTGAGAAAGGTGTCTGGAAGCCATTGAGGAGAGCATCGCGCAGCGCCACGAGCATCAATTTGGCGTAGTATTTTCGCATATCCATCAATCCTCGCAAGTGGGTTTCCACCCCATCGTAAAGCACATCTTTTATTAACTATTTAATGTTGAGTAATCGCTAGAATGTGCCTCTCAGGCCGTGGGGATGCCGCTGTAATGTGTGTATTTGTATGCTCATAAACAGTGTATCTCTTTTCCCACAGACGATGGAGGAGATGGCGGGAGAAAAAAGAGAAATATTCCTCGGAAAATATAAACAGAGCGCTTGAAAGGGGCCCAGCAGAGCACTCTAATGTAGTTTTAAAAGGAAATGACTGTATCGATTCGGAAATTATTTCCTGTCCATGGTTTATGCTGATGGAAAAGTCGCTTTCTCTGTTTGGGTGAAAATTTCACTGTTTTTCCTTCTTTCACTAGAATGGTTTGGGCTTAAGTTCGCCTCTTTCTTTGTTTTGTGTGTGTGTGTGTGATTGCGGGCGGGGGAAGTTGATTTTCCTCTGAGCCGCCAATTCACTTTCCTTTCGGCGTTCTTCAAGAGATTCCACTTGAGATATTTCGACAGAGGAATTCTGTAATATCACAAAGTGGAATACTTTTGGTTTCAAAAAGATCAAAACAAAATTACTTATTCCAAAAATTGAATGACATGAGCAGATTCAAATTCTCAAATAAAAATTTCCCAGTTGCAATAGAACACGTTTCAAATTACTTTTGGAGAAATGCGTCTTTTAGAGATATTGAAGGAAGCATAATATATGTATTAGATGAATGATATCAAAGGTCAGAAGGACTTCTTTCAAGTACTTTCTGATGATTCTTAGAAGATTGAACTTTCTTTGTGAAAGAAGAAACTGAGGAATTGCAACTATTTCACGTCGTATAAATGTTTGGCTTTCAGTGCCAACAAACAATAAAGTCACAGATTGAAAGCTGACCTGCAAGTCTCATAATGTGAATGAAGAGGAAACAACTTAATCTTGAGAAGCCTTTTCTGACGAAAACGCCATTGTTGACGAGGTGAAAATAAAAGCACAGCTCTTGAATTGTTTGAATATCTGCAATACCTGCAAAGAATGGACTTAAGAACACTTATCGAACATTGACAGAGGATTGAAGAAAATTTAAAGCAATTATTTGCAATAGATTTCACAGAAAGTGTATCGTTTATAGTCACTTTATATTTGAAATTTTTCTCCTAGTGGATTTTAAAGAAATATTCCATCGGAAATTGTTGAGCTCCCGGTGGAAATCACTATAATATCAACAAATTTATTATTGACCATCCAATCACATGTCTATTAGCCACCACAATATATACTCTACCCGAGATTAAATGCTGTGGGCGAATTTTCTATAAATTCTCGCCACGAGCACGTGGCAGATGGGAAATGGTTCACGTTCGATGGATTACGTGCATTTCAATCCACTAGTAGTGGAAAACAATCTCTCTGTCTTCTCTTGTGAACATTTTTTGGTACAATATTCTTGTGAAATCATCGTAAAAAAAAAATCTATCTTGAAGCGCACTTTCTCGCTCAAGAAAATTGTTCTGAGAAATTCAATTAACTCCACAATGGCTGTGTTTGTAATTTATCAATTTTATATACAAGTCGACTTGGCGGTGGCTTTTTTTGAAATGTAGCCAACGATGAATAATTTGAAAATAATTTCCTCTCGGTGTCCGAAATAAAACGTGCTAAGTGACCTGAAGAGAGAGAATTGTGGGCTGGGGGAAAAGCGGAGCGCGCCAAAGTTTGACTATGAAGTTGCCACACAGTGAGGCGATTTTCTCAGCACTTTGAGAAGAATTCTTCACTTTCTGACGGCGTAATCACATAAAACTTGCTCCACGCTTGTGCTATTGTTGCCTTTGAATGGTTGGAAAAATATCATTCTTTGTGAATGGCCACGCAAGATGTCGCGCACTGTTGCATTTCTGTCAAACTTTGGCTGCGAAGAATACATAAGTTGCATGAAGAGTGCGGAACACTTTTAATTGTTATGCATATCAGTTTGAGGAAACTTGCTCAGACTTTGCCAAGGGAGATCAGTGGTTGTTGTCATTAAACAAGCACGCTATCGCTGTGCAAATGAGTGGTAAAGTTGGGAGGTGGACAAGTGTCAAAGTGACATTTCTTGCATAATTCATCCGCCAAATCACAAAGCCACACTGATGCACTGCGCGTCCACTTAAAAATTAGATGAGCTCCGCAGAAGTTGCTCTTCAGCTTGAGGGATAATTATCCATGCAAATTGCCATGAGGGGTGGTGAAAAAACAAAAAGAGGATGACAGCGGAGAATTCAGAGTTTGCATCTTGTTTTATTTGCAGATGGGTGAAATGATGAGATAGTCATTAGTGGAAATGAGCCCTTTGCGGGGCCACCATTTGCCATCGCGATGGTTGGCAATTGTGTGCCTCGTGCTGACGGTCCGGGCGCACGATGACGCGCTCCAGCGCCCCCGCCCCACGCAGGACGGCATTCAGCTCTTCAAGTTCACCCACGCGCTGTACAATGTGTCGATTCCGGAGAACAGCGCCGGGCGCACGTTCGTCCAGCAGCCCACGGACGAGGCGCGCATGGGGGTGCACTGGATGCCGGGTCACGAGGTGAAGTACCGCATCGTGGGCGGGGACAAGGAGAAGGTCTTCAAGGTGAGTGGGAAGCGCGACATTTGCGCGTCATTGGCAGAGAATTGACAATTGTAATTAGCTTAAAAGCACAACGGGGAATAGGTTGAATTGAAAGTTTGCCAGTTGTGTCAGATTACAGAACTTAAACAGCTTCGTTTTATGCTGGAATAGGTTTAGTCCTTGGCTTTTATTACCAAGTTTCCTCGCGATTTGTATACATTTCATACGTACAGGATATTAACCATTTTATTTTGTCAGAAATTGCAAAAAATAACTTTATTAACTCTTCCTCTGTTCCTTGCGCCAAAAGTTAAATATATTTTTCAGATTAAACTAGAATGGGGTGATTTCAAATAATATAGTTTTGAATTTCAGCATGAGAGAAGAAAGTTTGTGACGCTGAGTGGCAAAATGTGAATGATTGTTGCAGGTTGAGGAGCGGATTGTTGGTGACTTTGCCTTTCTCACGGTGCGCACACGAACGGGAAATGTGGTGCTGAATAGAGAGAAGACGGATGAGTACAACCTGGATGTCCGGGTGACGGTGACACAGCGGCGCTCGGCGACAAAGGCAATCTACGAGGATGACACGCGTGTCCACATTCGCGTCCTGGATACAAATGATCTCAATCCCCTCTTCTATCCCACCGAGTACTCGGCCACGGTGCCGGAGGATTGTGCGCTTCACCGCAGCATTGTGCGCGTGGTGGCGGAAGATGCGGATCTGGGCATCAACGGTGAGATCTACTACAGCCTCTTGGAGCCGCTGGCCACGGAGCAGTTCGCTGTGCACCCCACGAGTGGCGTTCTGTCGCTGACGCGACCGCTTAATTTTGCGGAGAGGTCCTTTCATGAGCTCATCGTGATTGCCACGGACAGGGGTGGGGGCGTCACCACCAGGGCGACAGCCACCCACGCCAGCAAAGCCAGAGTTCACATCAAAGTGAAGCAGGTCAGTTGCTTCTCTCGTCACCTGTTATTAATTCACTCTCGGCGATTTACCTTCGCTGTAGATTGTAGATAGAAGACAGAGTTTTTTTTCTCACTGCAAACACTAAAGAGAAAATATGTGTGAAAATGTACAGTTTCGCACCACTCTATTCACCATGATGGCTTATCATGAATATTGCCACTTTACTTTGAAGAGTCATGCAATTACAAGTCGCGCGTATTCTTTGCTAGAACGACGTTAATTGAAAGGGAATTTCATTAAACAGTGGAGCAATAGGGAATGTATTTCTCTTCTCTGGCTCAATATTGAGAAGCTTAAATATTGAGCAGCGAGGATTACTCATAAACTTTGCGAGGAAAGGCATCTCATCATCTGCTCTGCAGCAGTTTTATTTTTTTAATATCGCAAAAGAACCCAGAAAAAGAGCTTTCTGCAATTTTCCAGTGCTCAGGGAATCCTCAATTAATTCAATTACCATATTCAATAATTCGATATGAATTTTTTCCTACTTTTCTCCTGCCGTTGATTCTCATTGAAATTGTGCGCCGCGCTTTCATGAAATATTCACATCGAATGGCGGAATTGGAAGGGAGGAGATTTTCAAGAATATTTGTTTCAATTAATTTGCAATGGCAACAGGAGGAGGTTGAAGCAAGCCCATGAGCTTCTTATATGTGCCAATATATGTATACATATGTGGCGCTAATGGAAAAATCCCACAAAGTCTTTGTGATTGTTCAGGACGAAATACACTGTACGCAATGATAAAATATTCAGCAGTGCCGAAAAAGTTCCTCCAACATTTATATGGTTTTAATCTAAAAGCTCTTGACGGCGTGAGGAACGTTATTCTTGGCGCGCTTGCAACAAACGAGTCTTTGTGGTATAAATCTCTGTTAAGGGGTTAGCGAGCGCTGCAGAAGTATCCATCATCCACAAATGGTTGTTCGCCAGTTGGGGCAGAAACTTTGTGTCAAGGGGCAGATAATATGGTAGTGGTGTACAGCGTAGCGAAAGTGTTTGGAAGTAACATTTGTCGTTCAATAGATACTTTTGAACTAGAGTAAATTCACACAATATACCTTTAGATTGTTTACATTATTTTCTTTTGCAAGAAAAAAAAACCTAATGGTTTTTCTAGTTTATATTGGTGGTGTAGAGATTTGAGGCATACTATCTTCCCTTTGCTATATGTCTCACTCGCATTGAGGTGGGCGAAAAAAAAGCACGGTCGAGGTGGAAATAAATACGATATAATTAACATGAGTGCTGAGAGTAATTAGGAGGGGAGAAAGGCGCGGGTCGTATTAATTAAATTTAAGATTGAATTTCTCATTTGCGGTTTTATAATTGTGTGTACTTGTCTCTCTTTCTCTTTTTCTGTTCAACTGACGCAGGTGAATCTCTACCCGCCGACAATCTACACTCAGGCTTTGCCTGAGATCGTCGAGGACTCCAATGCTCACATCTTTGGTATCGTGCGCGTGGAGGACATGGATAAGGGCATCCATGGCAGGATTAAGAGTCTGGATATTGTGGATGGCGATCCGAATGGACACTTTCGTATACGACCGACAAAGAGACACGGTGAGTACAACATTGAGGTGCATCAGTTGCTGGACAGAGAAGCCACGCCGCAAGGCTACAATCTGACTCTGAGGGCTGTGGATTGGGGCATTCCTCCGAGGCAGAGCTACAAAGTCGTGCCCGTGCACTTGGCGGACGCCAATGACAACGTGCCAGTGTTCAGCCGGGAGATTTACGAGGTGAGTGTGCCAGAATCCTCACCGCCAAACACACCCATTATTCGCCTGAAGGTATCCGACCGTGATGTTGGGAAGAATGCCCAGGTGTTCCTGGAGATTGTTGGTGGAAATGAGGGTGGAGAGTTCAGGGTGAATCCCGACACGGGAATGCTTTACACGGCCGTTCCGTTGGACACAGAAACCAAGAGTTTCTACACACTGACCGTGTCTGCCATTGATCAGGGCAATAGTGGCACACGAAAGCAATCATCGGCGAAGGTGAAGATCAACGTGGCGGACATAAATGACAATGATCCGGTGTTCGAGGGGACAAACTCGACAATATTTGTGGATGAGAATGAACCCGCGGGCACAACAGTGACGAAAGTGACAGCAAAGGATCGTGATGCCGGCGAGAATGCTTACATTTCCTATAGCATAGCCAATCTCAATGATGTTCCCTTCGACATTGATCACTTCTCAGGTGTTGTGCGAACATCTAAATTAATCGATTATGAATCCATGCGACGACAGTATGTGTTGAGAGTGAGAGCCTCTGACTGGGGCCTTCCGTATCGGCGTCAAACGGAGATGCAGCTGCACATTCGGATCAGGGATGTGAATGACAATCGACCGCAGTTCGAGAAGGTGGAGTGCAGTGTTGAAGTCCTGCGATCTGCGCCACTGGGAGCGGAGATTTTCACCCTGTCGGCGATTGACTTTGACGCAGGGAACATGATCAGCTATCGAATGGTGGCGGGAAATGAAGATGGTTGTTTCAATCTTGATATGTCGTCGGGGGTGATTTCTGTGGGGTGTGATTTGACAGAGATTGTCGCCCAGCGGCGAGAGATTAACGTGACAGCCACTGATGGGACTCACTTTGCCGATGTCACGCGTGTTCACATCAACATTGTGCACATGCGGAGGAGTTCGACTGGTGCAGAGTGCAGAGAGACTGGTGTGACTCGTCGACAGGCGGAAATTCTGGCCGAGAGTGAGAGGAATAACATGCCGAGAACGGATGTGAGTCACTCTGAGGAGTTTGTCGTGATGCCCAGTCGATATGGTGAGAACATTCACAGTCCGGAGTTTGTGGACTTTCCATTTGAGGTGAGAGTGAATGAGACTGCGGCTTTGGGCACGACCGTGGCGGTGATCAGGGCTAGAGACAGAGATCTCGGCTACAACGGGAAGCTGGTCTTTGGCATATCTGATGGGGATAATGACTCTGTGTTTCGTCTGGATCCTGACACGGGTGAACTGAAGATTATTGGGTATCTGGACAGGGAGCGAGAGGATGAATATGTGCTGAATGTGACGGTGTATGATCTGGGTAAGCCTCAGAAGTCCGTGTCGAAGGTACTTCCAGTTACTGTCTTGGATGAGAATGACAATGCACCCAAGTTCGAGAAGAGTCTCACAAGTTTCCGGATTCCTGAGAATGCGCTCAATGGCACCATTGTGATTGCCCTGAATGCCACGGATGCGGACGCTGGCGAGAATGGCAAGGTGCGATATGGTTTGGTGACGGAAACGAAGGACTTCAGGGTGGATCCGGAGGCGGGAGTGGTGACTGTGAGTGGAACATTGGACAGGGAGCGTCAGGAGGTGTATGAATTGCGTGTCAGGGCCACGGATGGGGCGGAGCGGGGCGCCAGCCTCCACACGGATGCCATCGTGCGGATCACAGTGGAGGATATAAATGACAATGCGCCAGTGTTCAGTGTCCCCGAGGGTTACACGGTGAGGGTGCGTGAGGACGTCCCCTGGGGCACTCTCGTGGTGGTGGTGACTGCCACGGACGCGGACGTGGGCGCCAGTGGTGAGGTGGGCTACAAGCTGCTGCTGGATGAGGAGTCTGACGAGGTGCCGCCCTTCCGGATCGATGAATTCTCGGGCGCGATGCGCACCACCGGCAGTCTGGACTTCGAGGAGCGCCAAATTCACACACTCACCGTGAGGGCATTCGATCGCGGCCATCCATCTCTGGCCGCGGACACTACAGTCACTGTGGAGATTGTGGATGTAAATGAGAATCGCCAGGCGCCGCAGTTTGAAGACTTCGTTCTCACTGGGCGCGTGAAGGAGAATCAACCACTCGGCACTCACGTGATGATTGTACGGGCACGGGACGCCGATCCACCTGGTCCCGACTCTAGAATCACCTACAGTGTGCGCAGCGGAGATGGTCTTGGCCTGTTCACCGTGGATGCAGAAGGTAAGCACTCTCGCTCGACCATTAATTACAGTCCTCACTCTGCCTGGCCCTCCTTCTTCCGAACGAAGAGAGAGAGAGAGAAGGGATGGAACTATTTCAATCTAGGATAATTTTCTTTTAATGAGTTTTCCCCCCTTTTTTGACAGATGATTTCCATTTCTCTGCTCTCTTCCACAACCCCATGTTGAGCATGACTTTCAGAGATTCTCCAGCACCCAGAAATGTCCATTTAACACCGAACAATCCACTGAGATTGAACTCGGGCGTACAAAAGCGGCTGTGCTCAGGGATTTATGTCTCAATCAGTGGCTCTCAATATTTCCTCATCTGCACGCACTGCCATTTGTGGACCTATTTTTATGCTCCACGCATGATAAAGTGCTGAGAATGTGTGCCTCTAATTGAGCAATATTGCTCGCTGAGATTAAATGCGCTGTATTTACCAGGGATTTACATTGAGTTGAAAGACTACTCTTGGATTTCCAACTAGGCAAACTTTTCTGTTGCGTGGGATTTGTGAGACGAATTCATGGGAGAAGAACAAGGGAAAATGTGGTTTTTCTTATGAATGACTTGAGCTTCTTGGGGAGGAATTTGAGAAAGTGCTGAAATACAATGACATGTCACATAAACGAAGAAATTCTTTTCCCTCGATTGTGTGTTCTTGATAACTGTGCTCTCTTCACTTGAATTTCTGATTTAGTACAGCACATTTTTGACTGCTGATTGACAATGTTCAATCTGATCTTTCGCAAAAGCCAGAGAGTTATAAAAGATATTCTTTAGGACATATTGACTTTCACGTGAAACAAACACAAAGAAAATACCCTGTTGATTTTTCCACAATGAATGGAAAAGTTATTAGATTTCATTGAGTGGGTTTTTTTTTCCTCTTTGGGATAAAAATATCGATTGACCGTTCTGAGAAATAGATATTAGTCCAACAATGCATGACAACTTTTCCAATTCTGCCTTTCCGGGAAAAATAATGACTTATTTTGAGTGACAAATTGAGTGCTTGTATTTGAAATGCATTGCATTCTTTATTATGCGAAAAATGCCAGTAAATAGCTTGCAGCAGCTTTTGTATGTTTGGATGTTCTTTTACTGGGAATTCCTGGATGAATGCATTGAAGATTAAGCTTTCCTTTTCATATTTGCACCGAAATATGGCAATTATGTAGGGAGAGAAAAGTTGAAGAAGCGTTGATATGAGCGTCGACTTGGGCGTGAGGATGAGGTAAAGTTATTATGGAGTGGGATTTAAAGTTTGTGCGAGTGCTAGAAGAATGAGGAAGGGAAGAAGGGGGAAAAGTTGGGGGGTTACTTTTCAAATTACATTATTTTTGTATATGTATCGCGTGATTTTAACGACTTCCTTCGCGTACTTTTATCATAATTGCTGGAGATGAGGAATGAATTGGTTGAGTTTTGGCGTGCAGAGGTGGATTTTCGCTCATTTTATTAATTAGAAAATTAGGGTTTTGCAAAACTAGCAAAGTTGCCGAAGGCAAAAGTTCACTATGAGTGAATGTGAAAAGTTTGAGTGTGTTTTGATGGTAAATGATGGATTTTGGGCTGTGCTGATATATTCGTTGCTGGAAGTGTATCAATTATCACAATTAATGTAATTGATGTGAAGTGGGGTCAAACAATCTCGTGCGTACTTCATTATTTGCCCCTCTGGACAGCGTTAGCAAGGGTGAGACAAGGAGTGTGGCGATATTCAAGTGTATTGTGTGGTGGTGTGTATGTTTCTGCCACATTTGGGAATCAAATAGGCGAAATCTTCCCACATTTGCTTCTAGAATCAATTACACCAGTGACTCGGAGACTGATAACATGAGATGTGAATTGATGAGTGTTCCACTTTCTCCCTCAATTCATGACCATGTTGATTTCCTTCCATTTCTCCGGAGGCTTCGTCTGCACTGGGGCTGAAGAGGGCGCGTCGCAGGGTGTGAGAGAGGGAGACTGAGAGGAAGTATTGGCAATGTCATGCTGAAACTCCACTCATCAGATTTCTCCTGCGAGACGAGGAAACTTTGTGCGAACGGGAGTTGAACGTCCTGAAAGGGGGAGGGAAAATGCAAAATAGGAATATTTCAATTTTATACATCTCGTCAAGTGACGCGCGTCTCCTTTAGAAATTATTCTCTCAAACTTCCAGCCATTCTATGAATTCACACCCTTTGTCACTTTCAGATCGAGGGGCAAACAAGTCTCTTTTCGCGCTTAATGCTTTCAGAGCAATTGAATCGGCGGCAACACATAAAAGCGCATTATTATAATTTGATTCAATTTTTCGGATTGCAAGGAAAAAATTCAAATTTCTAGCAGTAAGATGAAAGATAAGACAAATCTGCTGAATTCCGCAAGAAATCCACGGACAATTCATAGAAACATCAACTTTTTCACTGCTGAACATCTTCTACAATATGTTTTAAGAAAATCTCGTATCATGATAGGAGAAAATATAAAAAATCTTTAATAGCTTAATTGGATATTACGTAGGACATTCGTACAAGATTCATCAGAGTTGCAGTGGACAGTCTAATGACGTTAAAGAAATTCATCCAATATCCTTAAAGAACGTAATCAAACGAACATTCTACCATTATGAGGTTTTATGAAGTGGTCCAAACCCCAGACACACTATATTTAACTGATTTTATAATCTCATTTTCTTATTAATTGACACCTTTTTGAAAGCAAGACATATCATTATTGGGTACAACCTCAGAATTTGAAGTGCAGAAATTTGAGGTCAAAAGCAAAAGTTTTCGATATCTAATGAGAAAATTCAATTATATTACACAAGCAGAGCTCTCTGTGAGGTGCATTCTATGCCGATGGAGGCACTTGTCTTCATTCCTTGTCACTAGATTCCTAACAAAATGGAGCAAAATGACGGTGATGAGAGATGAAGTTACCATTTTACATTCATGAGTAAACGAAGTTTAAACAAGCAAACTCAATGCTCTCTCCCAAAGAGCATGTCTACGTGGGTCTCCTCGATAAGCACACGCTGGGAGGGATGCCACCCACTTGGGTGCCGTCAATGAAAGTATAATTGAAGCATAATGTGGCGCGCTTCCACCCTGTGATGTTGTTTATAAACTATCGGCAATCGTAGGCAAACTTCTTGGGGAACACAACCCCAACTCTAAAGTTGATAACATAATGAGAAAATTCCACACCATGGCGGCAGTGAGAAGGGTTGAGAGAGTGAGAGTGTGTGTGTTATCGGAAAAATGTGTTGAGAGCTTCACCGATGGTATTTTCATTAACTTAGCTAAGAGCGTTTGATTGGCTTTTTTGCTCTTTGTCGTGATCGCGCTATTAAAGTTGGACTATTGATCTTTCTGAGCAATTTTAATGGGAGTTGAGATTCCTTGAATAACTTTATGCAAGGGATCAAAGTGAATATTATCAATCTGTGTTCGATTTATGCCGAAATTTGTGGTTGTGCTCTAATGATAGATTTATCAATAATTACTTCAGTGAACAATGGAAGAGCGAGTGATTCAATTACAAGAGGAATTTTAATTAAATATTTCAGTGCAAATGAATTTAAATAAGCACTGAATATTGCAGAATTAATTTATGGAAAAAAAATCAATCCCACGCACTGCAAGCAGAGTAACGGTCACATAATGAAATATATACTTTTTTTTCTATTAATATAAATAAAAGTCATGCGTTTAAATAATTCAATTAATTAATGTCAATGGTGAGGTTACATGAAATACAGTCAAGTGCAGTTGTGAAAATGTCTGCAGAATCACTGTTTTACTTTACTAATGCTCGATATAATGATATTTTCTCATGATTGAATACCCTCAAAGGAGAATTTTCTTTTTCAAGACAACTTGGCAATGTTGATTTTGTCAGAGACTTTCAACATGAACTTTTCCACATGAATTGAGCCATCCTTTCGAAAAGTCATTGACGTTGCTCTAGCTTCAGCTCAACACATCTCAATTCACGTCAAAGAGACTGAGGAATGGCATGTTTCGCAGGGGAAAATATTGAGCTTTCTTTTATCAACATTGTGTATCTGATGTGCAATATCGTCGCCTTCAAGTGGATGTATTGTATATCGCGTTTGAAACTACATGTGAAATATGTGTCAATTTCAATTATATGTGCAGCAAATGAACTTTGACTCCTCAATAGAAGCTTTCTTGCATTTTGGAAAAATTTTTCTTCACAGTCTTTGTTTCAAATTCCAACAACATTCAATCAACTGATAGATGTCACTGCCAATACTTTTATGGGGCACAAAAGTGTTGTTTGTGGTACAATACCTTTGCTGGGAAGTGACAATATTTCACCCTTTCATTTGCCATTTGCAGGAAATATCCGGACGATGGCGGTCTTTGATGTGGAATCAAAATCGCACTATTGGTTGACAATATGTGCCCAGGATCACGGTGTTGTGCCGCTGCACACGTGCACCGAAGCCTTTATTGAGATTGAGAATGAGAACGACAACGTTCCACTAACAGACGAGGTGGTGTACTACGCCTCAGTGGCCGAGGGCAGCTCCAGTGGTCTGAAGATTGTTCAATTGCACGCGACCGACCGTGATGTGGATCCAATGAACAGAATCACATATCGAATTGTCGCTGGCAATCCTGAGGGATTTTTCACTATAAATAGTACAAATGGTAAGCTACACGGCAAATGTCTCAAGTCCTTGTCATGCTTTGCAGTTGAATTGAGTGTGCAGAGCTCAATTGTGATATTATTCTCCATTCTGACATGCTCTTTTCTCTCCCATTGTGTGATGTGTTATAATAGGAGTCATATCGACAACTGGCCGCAAATTGGACAGGGAGAATCAATCTGAACATATCCTCGAGATTATGGTGCAGGACAATGGGAGTCCTGAGTTGTCCTCGACGACAAGAGTTGTGATCACAGTGGATGACATCAATGACCACAGCCCGGAATTTGATCAGAAATTCTACAAGGTGCAAATTCCGGCAACGGCAAAAGTGGAGCAGAAACTATTTCAGGTATTGTTGGCATAACTACAAACTTTTTTGCGCCCACACACACACGCTAACTCACCCCGTGACGGTCTGCCCTTCTCAGAATCCAACTGATGACATGTGATTCCCTCCCACTCATCCGGTCCGTGTGTTTGCATTTGGAATTAATGTCCGGGACAGGGAGAAAAAGTGTATCTATTTAAGAGTGAAATTACAACCCTTTCTCATTACAACGGGAGTTGCTTTCTGACCTCCAAATTGATTTCACGTGACAGTGAATTTAATAGGGCGACACCCCTGAGATTACACGCATTTCCATCTCAATGGGGGGTGTGCGCAAAGGTGGGATTTTCCCAGTCCACACATTACTTTGGGTGTCAAAGTAATAAAACTCACAAATTAATTATTTAGCAGATGCTATTGTAGAGCTGCTTCAAACAGGTGATTTTGATTACTTTTCACTTGGTGTTCACGAGAAGAACAACAGCCTGGTAATTTACATGTTTGCATCTTAAATGAAGTAGGTGAAATCGCTTTGTCTCTGATATCAAAGCTCTCTTCTTCTGGGTGGGAAATAATTTTCTACATGACGACAAATATTGGATTCTGTGAAGGCGCGCATCTGTCAAATCTTTCAACTGATGAGTATTTTCGAATTAACCCACTTGTGTGATATGCCCTGTTCACAATTATCAATATCTATATAACATATACTGTAAACTTCCCTCCTTGTTATTAATCTAGCAAAGCTGTGAGCTTCACTTTTCAGTGAAGATGACAGTGAGCAAACACAATCTATTTGATATGATTTCAGCACAATTTATTGAGAGCACTTCTTGAGTGGGGCAACTCACATTGAATATCAATTGCTGAAGAATTTCGTCAGCGCTCTCGGGCATAACACAGGCCGTCCATCTATGATATATTTGGGCTATAAGGCGAGCTCTTCTCTTTATGGCATTGGGTTGGGTGTGCGGATGACGGAAAAGAAGATGGCAAATATTACAACTACGCAACATGTTTGCGCGCTGTTGAGATTTATGTTCTGTTTTAATCTCTCGCTTTTCCCGCCTCTTATATCTGCACCGTTTTTTCGCCACGCACTTCCCCGTCCGGGGGCTGAAATCTCAGGCGATATGACACAACATAATCCCCCCATAAGATCCCGATAAGCCCGCTGATAGAATGTTTCCCTTCGGGTGGTGTTGTGGGCTTTCACCACGCATTCCTGAGGGTTGGAGAGGGCGATGCTACATGAGTGGCCCGATAGTTTATGGCTGTTTATCCTCGCTAGGCATCTATTGGATGCGCCCCCACACACAAAAGAGTTAATGGCCCTTTAAGGGGCTCCTGTGCACCTCAATGCCTCATTAGAGGCTCACACACGAGTCCATTGATGATGCTTTTGGGGGTGGATTTGAGCGGATAATTGACAAGGCTTTTGGGATAATGGTGAGGGTGAGTTTTGAGTCAATTGACAGCAATTAATTTATGAGCTATATAATTGTGGGTAGCGTTACAATTGTCTCTGAAATTATCCGTATCTGTTAATTTGGTGGAAAATTATTACAGGCGACAGGCATTTAAATGGGCGGGACATTTGAGTGGGCGTGTAATTCATATTGATCATATTGACTGTGCACTGAACGGGAGAAGAAGAAAGCTGTTTCCTGTGTCTTTCACGATAATAGTAAACAATTGAGTTGTAAGAAGTTTTGTGCAATCCTATTACATGAAATGCAATTGAGATCTCGAGTGGTTCTTCATTTTTGCACGTAACTGTGAGACTATCACAGCAAATTGAAGGCAATTTGATGAGAAATTTTCTTATTTGCTGAGGAACTGATTGTGAGTGAATATTCTGCATTTTTATGGAAATAGTGCTCGTTTAGTACATAATAGATCAATTTGATTGAAATTCCCCACAGTATTGACATCGCGCACAGGAAGCTGAAAAGAGAATTGAGACAATTTCGTAATGTAAGTTTGCTATTATCTCAGAAAACATCAAGTGTTGGAATGATGACAGGCGAACGATATACACACTTTGTATTGTCAACAATGCCCTCAAGAGACATTTTCTCTCTATCTCTCTCTCTCTCTGTCTCAGTTTTCTGTGAAATATGTTAAGCAGCAATAAGTTAAATTGAATTGTCGTCAATTGCATAAAATATCTTGCCATTTATCTGCAAAGCGTTGTAACTTTTCAATTTTCCTAATGGCTTTTTTCGGCTGGGCGACAAGCGGAGGTGGGAAAAAGTCCCACAATTGGATTGTCCCGAAGGGCGGTGGAAGCGTGGTTTCTTGGTCAAACTTTTACGTGTCTTGAGGGTGGAGAATTCGTGGTGAGCGTATGATACAATAGTTTGTGTGATGTAACGTGAGAAAAAAGGTAGAGAAAATTTTCCTCATGGGAACTTTTTTTTGTGTCTTCCTTCTTATTTCATTAGACTCCCCCACATTCTCACGGGGTTTTTTTTTTCTTCACCCATCTATATTTCTTGATAGCGTTTTTTCCACCAACGTGCAAGTTCGTCTCCTCAGAAGCATCCCTCAGAGGGATGAATATTGAAATATGCTGAACAAGTTGTACGCGGCGGGAAGTAAAAGGAGAAATAATATGCTACTTTATCTCCCTTTCGTTTGCACCAAAGGTATATTTATAGTTTTTCCGTGTTCACTGCCAAGGCGGCGAGTGTGGGGTGAAGTTCTCGCCGAACACCCACAATTGGGGGGTGGAAAGAGGTGGAGTGAAATTCAGGCGAAACCCTATCGTGCGGTCCCTTTTTGTGTGAAATTGATCAACATACAGCGATTTATAAGGTGAAGCATTTTTCCGCACATTTTTCCACGCGGTTCTGTGTGTGAAATATTTTCAAAACAATTTTCCCTCTCGCCCCCTTTTTTTGCCTCTTCTGCCACGTCCATCATCATCCATTACTAATGAATGTTGTTTTTAGTATTATATAATGGGGCCTCGCGTGGGGAAAGGGCGCAGAAACCGACGTGGCGCCATTTTTCTCATTTTCTCCTCCAGAATCGACCACCCTGTGGGGCTTTTCTTCTGTTGTCTTCACATTGAAATTCTCTCTCGCCACGTGAAGGGAAAACTATCGCTGTTATTGTAGTAATTGGATTTAGCTACAGTAAATATTTTCACACACTTTCCAGCATTTTCTTACCCTGTGGCAAACATTCCGTCGCTCTAACTCCCGGAATATGATGATAAATTACGTGTAATCAATCATTTTTGGTCGCGATGAAGGAATATTTATGCACAAGAGTGTGATAAGAAACTTTTAAGTTAAGTGGCAATTGCAGACAATTTCCCGGATTTTGTTTGTTTATGGAGTTTTTCCGTAAATAGGATTTGAAAATCGAATTTTTGTGAACTGTGTTGAAAAGTCTTCTGTCACTTCACAGTGTTTGTGTGCAGAGTGTTGGACGCGCACAACAAAACACAACTTTAATTTATCAGTACAAGGTTTTGATCCAATTGGTCATTGCTTGAGAATTTGATTTCTTGTTCGTCCTTTTTGAGGTTGGAGCATAAAATTGGCACTGTATTTTATGACGTATGAGCAAAGAGCGAGGGAGAGCCGGTAATTTAAGCACTCCATCTCGACTGACTTGGTGCTCTCTTGCGTGCGATGGATTTTTCCAGGCCGGAGTGCCTGTAATGCAAGCAGCTGATGTTTCCATAGTCAATGACCAGGAGGCCTTCGAGCTCCACTCTGGCCCGTGTGCAGCTGCTACTCAATGGCGAGTGTTTGCCAGGGGGGGCGGCACGGGGGGCTCCATGCTAAAGACGGGGTGGCATTTATGGTGGAAAATCAATAGAGAGTGCGAGAGGGAGCGGAGCTGTGTGTGCGGAGCTAGTAAATTGCGATATGTACAAATTCCTTGAAGCTACTTTTGGCCCATATAATTGAGCCCTCGCTCGCTCCCTCGCACAGCGCCCCAAACTCGAGTGGTTGGCTCATTGTATGAGTGTGTGTGTGCGCCACGGCAAGGGGGGGCGCACGAGGCGAATTTACAGGTATGTAAGCGCGACAATAGCAGCGAGATACACGATACATTTTGCCTGGTGGAAAACTCCCCTTTTTGCTTCACAATAGACAGCAATTTGTGTGTGTGTTTTCCTCCATCAAAAGTTCGCTGAAAGAATGGCCTGGGATGTTAAATTTAACGGGCGAGCCTGTATCCACCACATTAATTGAAAGTATCGCTCGCTCGGGCTTCAGCGCGGTGGTGTAAAATATCAATTTGGCAAGATTGACCGGTGCGACATGAAATGCAGTGAGGGACAAACGATCAGAAGAGTCGCTGCCTGTAATTGAATACTCAGTGTGGCGCATTTTGACTAATTCAATTGGCAAATTATACCTGAGGTGTACCGCAAACCGCTAATTTTGACACTGTTTCACTGAAAATGGTGTCCGAGGGAATATTAAATGTTCATTTGCTGCTTTATATTATTCTGTCAGTGGAGAGTGAATTTATTCGCCAATATTGTAAATCTAAAAGCATTGGTGATGGTGTCGAATTGTTGGCCTTAATGACAAGGCAAATTATTCTTTGAGATACAAGTTGTAGTATATTTCCTTATTTTCATCTCTTCTTGAACTCCTTGTTCACATTTGAAAGAATCTCGATTTGGTGTGTGAACTCGACAGTTTCGAATGCTGAAAAGTAGTAATTTTAGTTAAATATTGCTTTCTTCTGGTTAATTTTGTGAAGTTTCAGGATTGCATAAAAGAATGTGATTTGAGCAAAAATTTGAGATTTTCCATGCTCAATCTTGACTCCTTAGCAATTGGGGTTTGCTGGGATCTGATCGTGTGATAGAAATGGAGAAAACACCCAATTTCACATCGTTTAAATTTCTACAGACTGTGCATACAGTTCAATATATCACTCCTTCCTCGCTCAAGCATGGGATTAGCCTGTCGTTTCATTATCTATATTTGTATCTAAGATGGATTATTCTTTTCTCTCTCTTCACACGAAAATTCATACTTTTT